AATTTAATATATATGGGTGAAATCATCATCTTTCCATTCAATTAAGTTTAAAACCCTTGCTAATATTCCTTCTCAACTAGGATCTTTTACTTTTTACTTGTTTAACTCTTTATTTGGCCGAGCATTAAACACTTGACTGTAATGAAAATTGGAAATATTTTCTCTCAAAAAAGAAAGAAGGGGAGGAGGAAGGAAGGAAGGAAGGCAGGCAGGCAGGCTGGCCAGCCAGGGCTGAATAAGCCTAAAGCCAGAAGCCAAGAGCTTCTTTTAGATCTCCCATGTGGACGCAGGAGTCAAAGTATTTGTGGCATCCTCTGCTGATTTTCCAGGTACATTAGCAGGGAGTTGGATTGGAAGTGCAGCAACTGGAACTCAAATCGGCCCATATGAAACCTTGGCTCTGCAAGAAGCAGCTTAACCCACTGCACCACAATGCTCTCTCCCAAAACCATTTTTATGTATTTCATCTGAGATAGTTTCTCTAAAAATGCCTGCATCAGATAATCATTTTCGACCCCATCATATAATGACAAAAATGACACTCAGAAAAGTGGTTAAGTAATTATTCTGAGATTACCAGTGTAATTCTCTAGGCAATCCATTCATGTGAAATTTCTTGGGTTCATAGTGCATTATGGTTCTATTGTAGAGGGGAGAACACTAACAGGGTCTTTCATTATACCATAAAATGTCTTTGTCTGAACTGGATATATGGCCTGGGTGCCTTTGTGTAAGACACAACCTGTACAACCATTTATAGCTGCCATGGCCATTGCTATGGAATTGAAGTGCTAGGTATAGAACACTACAAACAGCTGTGAGATTGTGCATGGCACTGGGCCTAAGGCCTAGAATTGACCAGGTACTTATATCAATGCTGAGTCCAGTGGCTTTCTGAACAGCTGAGCCTGTGTAGATGTGAACACAAAAAGAAAGGGGGACCACAGACTAAGTCTACTGTATGTTGCAGAAGGCTACCTTGGAGAATACACAAATTATTCAATACCAAAACCTGACTTCCCAAAAGACTCTAGTGGAAACCCGACATTTGCTCCAAAACAAATGAAAAACACACTGCTTTACCATTGCTCAAGGTTATAAATCAGCACTGTCTATTTATTCCCTTAACTCTTTGAATGGATATTCAATAGCTTGTTGGGATATTTTCATCCCAGATTAATGGAGCACACTGGCTCAAGAGAAATGAGCAGTACCACTTTGGTGTGTAAAATTCAAATTGTAACAACATGGCGCAAACTCACATTTCCCTGTGACTCCCCTTATATACAATTAAATTAGCTGAAAATTATTAGACAAAAAAAAAAAAAAACTCTGAAAGTTAGAAGAAAGGAGGAAGATGGACTAACTCCAGGATTTTGGCTACAACATAATGAGTTCTCTGAGCTTATTCATAATCAACAATCTATTTCTGGACTGGGAGCCTGCAAGACCTCCAAATAAGAATGGCCAAAAGTCAAAATCAGGAAGAAACAAAACCAAAAAATGATGAGAAAAGCTTGTCCTCTCTCAAAAATTACCTAAAAAAGAGGAGCATCAAAAAGACATGATAATCTCATAACCTAATGGGATGGCATCACTTGTTTTAACTCACATAATTTTCTCAAGAACTCCATGATGTAGATCCTATTATTTTCTCCATTTTACAGATATAGAAATATAGTCACATTACAACACAATAA